AGCAGAATTAAAAACCTCGGTAGTGATTGGTGCCACACCTGGCGGAGGTGTATTTAAAGCTTGATGGGTATCACTTTCGTCCAAATTAAGAGTCTTTCCCAGAGCATAACATTGATCTGAAAAAGAAAAATATTTTTAAATTAAAAAAGAGAAGCAAGCAAAGTAAAAGCAAAGGTCAGCAGTCCTACCGTAGAACCATAACTAAACGGAAAGATGTCCTATAAAATAGATTATGGTATACTGATGTAGATGTCGAAATTTCGACCCCAGCTTCAAAAGCTTATTGTTAGTTACCAGCCTGTGGTAGACTGATCGTGAGAAATTGATAGATGAATAGATAAAAAGGTTTATCAGAAAAAGCATAAAAGATAGAGCAACTCAAAAGACAAAACCATTTTATAATTAATAAAAAATAATTCTAATTTTTTTAAGAAAGCAGGAAATATCCAAGCCAGTTATATATCCTAACCGTTTTTACCAGATTTGTCATTGTTGCTTATTAAATATTTTACTATTTCTTCGCGCCATTCCCGAACGCCAATGTCTAAAAAATACCCAAATAAACAAAAAATAAAAATAATTTCTCGCACCCCTGGCATTCTGCGAATATTTTTTGAAAAAAATAAAATAAAAACCTTTGCTGTAATTAACAGGAAAATGATTCGTAGTAAGTCGTGAGTCACTTTTGATGCCTACAAGCAAAGGACTTCCACGCCTAGCAGCTACCAATTGACCTGGGTAGTGACGACTCTTGAAGGCTAAGGCAAATGCTCCCTCCTAAAAATTGAAAATTGTTTTACTTTGGCAAAACGTCTTCTTTAATCTTTTATTCCAAAGAAATCTCATCAGTTTAAAAACTATCCACATACCAATTGTTGAATAGCCATCTCGACAATCTGACGAAAACTAAAATCTGTATGGCGTTCATAAATGTGCTGGACGAGCTTTGCAATCACCTGACAAAATAATTTAAATAAGCTTAAATAATTTGTTTTCGGTCAATGCCCGCAAAATTTCTGCTGATTTCTAACAATAATTAAGATCCAAACCTCAGTATCAGTCTCCGACTCAAATTTGTGTCCCTTCTGTTCCAAATAGCCTTTGATGTCTTTGTAGTTGGTCAAAATGCCGTTGTGGACAACCACAAAGTCTGGGAAAAATTAAAAATTTGGCTTAAAGATTCGATATAGAAAAGACGTCCAGCATGCCCTTACAATATATATGGTTAATGCCCGCAACTCTTGTACGAAAAACCTATCTTCCAACCTAATCTCTGGATCTATTAACAACATAATAATTACCGTTGTTAGTGTTTGAACGTTGTGGATGTGCATTCTCATCCTTCGGTTTCCCATGAGTTGCCCAACGGGTGTGCCCAATACCGCAATGAACTTAAAAAGAAATTTTTAAAGACTGCTTATGTAAAAAAATCACCAGAATAAGTCACTTCCATATCCAAATCCTTTGCATCTAGAAATTTTTTTAATAGAGTCAAGACGATTTTTCTGTATACTTCTAAAAGTCCGCAAGTTTTACCCGGAAGTCATTTTTTATTAAAACTTAGACTTGCGGACTTTCGGAAGCATAAAGTAAAATACCCAGCATATTTACACAAAATTTAAAATAAACAATTTTGTTGTTGACATTCTTTAAATACCTTTAATATGGTCATAAAGAGCATCCACCTTCCCAGTCTTTCTAAATACCCCAACATCATTCTGGTCTTTATTGTCGGCGGTGTTATTGTTGCTGCTGTCAATTGCGATACCTAAAGAGTTTTTTAGTTATTTTAGGCGGAATTAAAATTTTGTTTGGACATATAGAAAAACTACGCAAAGTCAAAGGCCCCTTTATTCTTACGACCATGTCACAGTTTTACATAAGGTAAAAGGAAATAGAGAGGACAAATGGCGTCGAACGATACTTTTGCCATCAAGCAATCCAAAGGTTCATAGGGAAAAGACCACTTTTCTCAACCATTCTTATTGTTAGAAGTTGGTGCGCGCGGTCATTCATTACAAGAGGAAGCATGAACGAAGAACGACAAATGACTAGCCCTTTCGGTATGATCTTATAATCTTGAAATACCAAGAATCTTGAAATACCTAACCCCCAAAAACTCTTGAAATACCATACTGCGGAAAACATTATAATAACAAATAAATACCAAACTGCTTCCTCCGCATCAGCAAAAACTTTTTTCGAGGAGGAACTTTCTCCTCATTTGTTGTAACAATAGTTTGGTATTTCAAGGGCTTTTGGAGGTTTGGTAATTAAAGCTTTAGGTATTATAAGACGTTCCGGTTCTTTCTCTCTAGTGGAAAACATTTGTGTTTGACCAAAAAAACAATTTTTTCTCAAAAAACCTGCAGAATCATATCCTCTATATTCCATACGTCTAAGTCCTTGAAGCAAAATGTCAATAACTTCAGCACGCTTTTTAGGCGTAAAGAAATTTAGATAAGCGAATATTCCACACATTTTTAATAAACTTTAATTTCTAAAAAAAAAATAAAAAGAAGAGAAAATTACAAATCAATTGGACAGAAAAAAATATTAAAAATAAACAGGTATGGAAATGTTTGTGTTAATCTAACAACAATAAATATTCAAATTTATAACCCGATTTGTTTTTATTCATTTGGCCAAAGTCCAATCGATTTTGCAAATAATTTAAAAATTAAATGAAGAATGATTTATATTCCCCCCCCAAAATAGTTCTGTTAACATTCCCCAAAAATAAAAGAGAAAATAAAGAGGAAAAAATAAATATTGAAAATAGGGAATGATTAGAACAAAAATAAATAACAAAAAATTGGTAAGGAAATTGAAAATGAAGAGTGTGTAAATGAAGAAAAACGAGGAAATAAACCCAACCCCTTTAAATTTGAATAGTTGCAACTTATTCTCTAAATGTTTTCTTTTTTGAGCATAAATGTGGGGAATAAAAATCTTCCGGAAACCTATGTTTTCTTCTTTCAGGAAAGTTTATATACTTCCCTGAACGAAATAAGAATCGAAAAAAATCAGAATTTCATAAAAACCTCCATGAAATAAAAATTCTGATTTTATACCCAAAAAAGGTTTCAGTTCTGTATGTATGTATACTAATTGAAAGTAGAATTATTTTTAAAACCAGCCTTTGTATTTTTTAATAAAATAAAATTTAGAATATTAGGCTAAAATTTATTACTATTTAACATTTATAAGTCAAAAGCATTTAATTATGGAAGGGAGAGAAATAGAGAAAAATGAATAAGAATTGAACAAACACAACTAAATACGTGGCACACGTTTTAACTGCTGAAAAAAAATTTTTTCCTGGCAATTTAAAAAAAATATCGCGAAGAAAAATATTTTTTATCCAGCCAAAAATAAGAGGTTTTGGGAGAAAATTAAGAAGGAAATGAAAGCCTGCCTCCATTTTAAAATCAAGAAATTTTTATAAATAACTTCCTCAATAAAAGATATATTAAATTTATGTATGATAAACAAATATATAAAATTTAAAAAAAAAGTTTGAATATTTTTAATCAACAAATATTAAAATGAGTATATTTGTAAAGATTACTAAAATATAACCCCTCCAGCAGAGAAAAAATTTCAGAATTAAAGAAATTAAACAATAAAATATAAAATCAGAATTTTTTAAACAACACAAATAGGTAGTTTGTTGGACTTTAATTCTGATTTTTTTGTTGTTAGAATTTAATTCTGGCTATCAGAATTTATTTTATTTATCTGAAAACAAAAAAATGTTTGTTTGAAATTCTGTTTTTGTTCAAATTTAATTGTTTACTAGTTCAAATCAGAATTAATTTTATTTATTGTTTGTAAAAAAATCAGAATTTTAAATGTTCGTTTAACAAAAGAATAAACTTGTTTGTTTAAAATTCTGATTTCTAATAACTAAAACATAACACAATAAAAGCATAAATGAAATATAGGTAGAGAAAACAACACAATTAAATAAACAATAAATTTAAAAGAAATATGTATTACAGATCAGATAAGAAATAAATTATTAAAAATAAATTTAATTTAAATAAATATTCAAGCAATAAAATAGTAAATGAATTAACAATTAAATAAAATCACCTACAATTTAACAGCAAAAATACAACATATATGGGTGCCGCAAAAATAACCAAGGCCAAAATGCAACTGCTATGTTATACAAAATATACCCGATACTAGTTAACAATTAGGGGGTGGGGGCCTCACCCCCTTGAGCGCCCTGATCACCAGTGGTTAGGGTCCTCAATATTGTATACAACATTATTTTGATAAATAACGATCATTCCATCATTAGTTTCTAGTTTACCCTTCACTCTTGCACCACAAATCCACTCACCATGTAATGAAAGCGCCTAAATTTAAGTAGGGTCATCAATGAGATAAGCATTGAGTCCAAGTCCTAACATAAGATTTACAAGTAATGTTTTTTCGCGTGTAAAATTAGTCATAACTTTTTTATAGAAAATTTGTATTTTAAAAGATGAATAGCCTATTCCGACCCTTTTCAAACCCTGGCTCAATGCTTATCTCATTGATAACCCTACTTAAATTTAGGCGCGTTCATTACATGGTGAGTGGATTTGTGGTGCAAGAGTGAAGGGTAAACTAGAAACTAATGATGGAATGATCGTTATTTATCAAAATAATGTTGCATACAATATTGAGGACCCTAACCACTGGTGATCAGGGCGCTCAAGGGGGGTGCAGACCCCCACCCCCTAACTGTTAACTAGTATCGGGTATATTTTGTATAACATAGCAGTTGCATTTTGGCCTTGGTTATTTTTGCGGCACCCATATATGTTGTATTTTTGCTGTTAAATTGTAGGTGATTTTATTTAATTGTTAATTCATTTATCTATTTTAATGCTTGAATATTTAAAATTTATTTCTTATCTAATTTGTAATACATATTTGGGGACTGATTTTTGCGGACAAAAATATTTTTTACCAAAAAATCAAGCGAGTTTCAAATTTTCTTTTTAATCACGTTTTTTCCAAGCATCTAAAAAATAAATTATTTTTTAATTTTTTTTCTCAAATATTTACCTAAAGAAGCACCACCAGGACCATAAGATATTACCAAAAGAAGTCCACCAATAACAGAAAGAGTTTGGAAAAAGTCATATTTCATAAAATCACGGTAAAAACGGTCTTGAGGAATCTTAAAATATTTTTTTAATTAAAATATTTTTTCAAAACATTTTTATACCGTCCACCAACAGTTTAGCCATAAATTCAAAGCAAATAGCCAAAAAGAAAGAATCATTGAAGAAAGCTATAATTAAAAATATTTTTGTTCAAAAATACAAGTTTAAGAATTTAAAAAACTAGCGGAGTTGGTCGGCCTTCGGCCGCCCCACCCCGCTAGCAAAAACAAAACAAACCAAAAAACAAACTCCAAATCACAACCTCAAAATTGGCCCTAATCCAATCATAATCAGAAAAACCCGATAGTCAAAACATTGACCAGCATTAAAACAATACCTTATTACCAAAACATTTAACAAAGCAAAGCATCTAATAGGCGCACCTGATAGGGTACACACAGGCGCTCGTGTGACTCCGCTAGCATAACAAAACAATTCAACTCAAGATCCGATTCAAAAGCCTTTGGCCGGCCCATCTCGCTTACCCATTTTTTCTCCTCACAATTTCGCCTGCTTCACAATTCCCTCTGTTTCGATATTCCCCGGCTTCGAAATATCCCTTGCCTCACAATACCGCCTGCTTCACATCATTTCCCTGTTTCAATATTCCTCCAGCACCACAATTCATCTTGTTTCAATATTCCGTCTGCTTTACAATTCCCCTTGCCTCTCACAATACCTCCTACTTCACAATTCCCATTGTCTCACAATACCGCCTGCTCTACAATTCACCGCTTCACATCACCCTTCATTCTCCTGCTTCAATATTCCGCCTGCTTCACAATTCCCCTGTTTCAATATTTCTCCTGCTTTACAATTCATCTTGTTTCAATATTCCGTCTGCTTTACAATTCCCCTTGCCTCTCACAATACCTCCTACTTCACAATTGCACCTGTTTCAATATTCGACCTGCGTTACAATTTCCCTGCTTAAATATTCCACCTGCTTCACAATTCCCCCTTCTTCAATATTCCGCCTGTCTCACAATTCCCGGTTTCAATATTCGACTGAAATTTGACGCCTAGCACTTCAAATGAACGTTGACGCCTGGCGCTTCAAATGAACGTTGACGTCTAGCACTTGACACATGAACGTTGACGTCTAGCACTTGACACATTAACGTTGACGCCTAGCACTTAACAAAGGAACGTTGACGCCTACCCCTTAACAAATGAACGTTGACGCCTGGCACTTCAGGTGCGTTGACAGCTAGCACTTAACACATGAACGTTGAACGTCTAGCACTTGACACATGAACGTTGACGCCTGGCACTTGACAAATGAACGTTGACGCCTGGCACTTCAAGTGACGTTGAACGTCTAGCACTTGACACGTGAACGTTGACGTCTAACACTTGACACATGAACGTTGACGCCTGGCACTTGACAAATGAACGTTGACGCCTGGCACTTCAAGTGACGTTGAACGTCTAGCACTTGACACATGAACGTTGACGTCTAGCACTTGACACATTAACGTTGACGCCTAGCACTTAACAAAGGAACGTTGACGCCTACCCCTTAACAAATGAACGTTGACGCCTGGCACTTCAGGTGACGTTGAACGTCTAGCACTTAACACATGAACGTTGAACGTCTAGCACTTGACACATGAACGTTGACACCTGGCACTTGACAAATGAATGTTGACGCCTGGCACTTCAAGTGACGTTGAACGTCTAGCACTTGACACGTGAACGTTGACGTCTAGCACTTGACAAATGAACGCTGACGCCTGGCCTTGACACATGAACGTTGACGTCTAGCACTTGACAAATGAACGTTGACGCCCAGCACTCAAGAGGACACAGGACTCCAGCAAACGTTGACGTAGAACAGAGCACAGCAATATTGAGAAGTGTTGATAGCAGTTGAAGAATGACCAAAATACCCTGCTTTTATACTATCTTTTTACCCATACAACCTAATTCAACTTGCAACGCTTTACTATAAAAACCCCCATTTCCTCACTCCCCCAAATCATTTTATTATAAAAACCCACTTGTCTATAAAAGGACAAACAGACAGACACACTCTTCTCAATTATATAATTAGATAGAGGAAGGACACCGAGAAAGACAAAAACCAAAATTCATAATATCCTTTATTACGATTGTTGGTTTTTGGAAAATCTTTGGATCCCGGAACTAAACCGATAATCCTTTCGTTTCTTCGGTTCAGTTCCTAACAAACAACTCTATTGTCTAGTCTTGATTTTTATTATTCTAGAAACTAAAGACATTTGGGGGAGGGTAAAAATTAAAATATTTTTGCTTTGTAATCCAGAGTTGAACAAAATTTTGGTTTTTCTCATTCCAAAATAGAAAAGCTTTCTTTTATTTTATTTCGATTCAAAATACACTTTAATTTCAACCAGACTAGAGACCGAAATGGGAGGGTCGTTCGAAAATTGAAGTCGATATGTATCTCGAAAAATCTCGATTGTCGACAACCGCAATTTTTTGAGACTTCGTCTCGGTCCTTCCCCGTTCCTTAATTTAAAAAAATTAAAAAAAAACCTTAGTTTTATATCCAATAGTAACCAAAATCATCAAAATAACACCAACTGACAATTCAACCTTAAAAAATATTTATAAAAATAATTTAATTGAAAAAATTCAAACAATTTTAAAGAAGGACAAATCAAAGTGTATCAATGACCTAAAAAATTAAAAAATAAATTTAAAAGAAAATAAAAAAAAACTAACAAAAACATAAATACAAGCAATATACGTCCAGTTAAAATCATATAAGATTTTGGTTTGTTGTCATCATTCATTTGGGGAACTCCAGCAAATAAAGATTTTCGTTCCTCCAAAGTTTCGGCATAAAGTAAAACAAGACCGCCAAATACGGCAATATTTCTGTTAAAAATTTTTTTAGTTTTTTATATTTTCTGTAATCAAAAAGGAAAAAACCTTGCAAGAAACTTCAAATCCCAAATAATGTGATAGGCAATAGTTTGAATCACAACAACAGCAGCCAGCACAGAACAGGCAATACCAACATGTTTTCGGATCATTATCATCACAACAGGAACGAGTTGACCAAAAAAGTTGAAAACGACAAAAACCACAGCCAAAAACCATCCAAGAGACCAGGACTCCTTTGAATATTTTTTAATAAATTAAAAAAAAAGTGTGGAGTCTAGGAAAACCAAGGAAGCTGAAAGGAAGTCGGTTGGTCGGAACATCTTCCCGCGTTACTAGAACTACATCTCCCAATGTTGGATCAACATTCCTAGCTGTTGTAACAGGATTCCCCGTTGTTGAAACAACATCCCCCGTTGTCGGAAAAAGCAAACCCTCGGGTCAATGATGCTGAATTTACTTCAAAACCCCCTTCTTGCCTACCAAAAAATTAAACATAAAGAAAACCTGCATATAATCCCGTTGATCATCCCATTGAATCCACATTCGACATCCATCCTCAATAAAAGTAGAAACAAGAAAAAGGCGTGCAAGATGAGGCAAAATCTTTTTTGTGTGTCGAAGAACCTAAAAAATACAAAAAATAATCTTTAATCAAAAAAATTTAACAGTGTCAGCATAATCCTCAGCAGCACTAATCATTTCTTTTTGACCACTAGTTACTCGAAATTGGTTCATTTTTTAAATTTTTTAAAGATTTTTTTTAAGAAAATTTTTCTTCTTTTTTGTTGTAATAGTTTTGAATAATATTTTTATTTTTGTTGTTGATGTTTGTGACCTCTTTTTGTGTTGTTTTTTTAGGTGAAGAAAATTATGCAAAACCAAACATTTAATATTTTCTGTTCTTGGTCTAGAAAAAAATTTTTTAGATTGGAAAATGGAACGGCTGTAAAATTAGAGATTTAGAAATAGTTGTATCAAAAGTCGAATTTGTTAAAGTCAACTGTTCCCTCTTCTCGTCCCCAAAAATTTTATTTGAGGCTCTATATATCGGCAAAAAATCATTAGTTAAGATCAAGAAAATTTTCAGAATATTTTTCGATTTTTGTTTGATTCAAGGGTAGGACAAAGGTAATTTTAATTGTCAATCGTTGAACAAAAAAAATTTAAAAAAAAACTTTAGAATGTCAACTCTAATAAATTCTTTAAATTTTTAAATTAAAAAAAATTAAAAAAAATTCAGTTACTAAAATAAAACAATTAATTTATTAGTAAAGTTTGGAGTAATCATAAATATAAAAAGTTTTTAAACCTTTTCGCCGAGAAAAAAGGAAAAATTGGAGTTTAATAAATTGAACGGTTTGAACAAAAAATGCTTTAAAAACAAGTTTTATTTAAATAAAATCAATAAATATTTAGCTTGGCCTCTATTAAAATAAATTTAATAATCGTAGGAAGCCGTTCTCGCCTATGAATTACGCAATAAAAAGGACGAGAAATTGGGGAAGAGAAAATAGTAAATTTAAGAGATTTTAATTGACAGTCGCTGATCAAAATTTTTAAAAGAAAAATCGAACTGCAAGGATTTGGCTTTGTGTAAATGACTTTTTATCCAATTATTTTCAAATGGGAAAATTCGAAATGTCAATAATAAAGAATATTTCATTTAGCCAAGCCAAATTGATACTCGGACAATTGTACAGTCAGACAATCGAACAGTAAGACAATTGTACAGTGTTTAGAGCTTTTTAAAAAGAAATTGACGTAATGTTACACGAATTTTTATTTTTAGTTGGAAAAACAAATACTCCTTTTTATTTAAAATTTTGGATGTACTTTAGCCGGTGGCCGGTTCGAAACCGATTCGAAATATATACCATTCGATTCGTCTCGGCGAACTGAGTCGAATGGTACTACTCTCAGGGTGCGGAAACGCCTGTGGACCGAGATATAGGTCCCCGAAAATCGAAAAACCATAGGGGGGAGTAAGCTCAATTTTGGGGTGGAAAAATCGATTTTTTTAATGATAGCTCATTCGAAAGAGCTCCGCGAGCTGAGTCGAATGACACCAAAATCAACGAAATCCGACTTGATTAGACCGATATATAGACCCCTAAAAACCGAAGATCCAAATGGGCGATTTTTAGACTAAAAATTTTTTTATACAAATAATAACTCATTCGAAAGAACTCGTCGAGCTGAGTCAAATGACACCAAAATCACCGTGATTGAAGAAGATTAGACAAAGTTATGATACAAAAAACAAAAACCTAAACCTATGGGGCGTCGGCGAGGCGCTTGTGCAAAACCCCGCGCTTCGCGCGGGGTTTTGCGGCACGCGCCTCGCGGGGAGTCTACGGGCGCTGGGTCTGGGCTCGTAACATAAACCTATTCTTATCTCCCTTGCTCTGGACGTATTTGGGGCCTCCGTAGCAGCAAAATCTTTATAGATGCCATAGGTAAGGAGCTAAAATAAAAGATCATAACTTTGTCCAATCGAGTCGGATTTCGTTGATTTTGGTGTCATTCGACTCAGCTCGAGGAGCTCTTTCGAATGAGATATCATTTGTATAATCAAATTTTTGACCCCAAAATTCAGCTTGGTCCCCCCTTTGGTTTTTCGATTTTCGAGAGCCCGTATCTCGGTCCACAGGCGTTTCCGCACCCTGGGAGTAGTACCATTCGACTCAGCTCGCCGAGACGAATCGAATGGTATATATTTCGAGTCGATTTCGAACCGGCCACCGGCTAAAGTACAGCCAAAATTTTTGTTCAATTAGTACTAGCTATTAAAAATATGTGAATTTTGAAACCCGAGAATATATTTTTTTACAAAATAATCTTTTTCGTCAATTAATTTCCTCACTTTCTCCCTCATTATTTTCCTCTCCTTCTTGACTTGTAGGTTGTTCAAAATAGCTAAATTGTCTTGTATGTCCTCCGTAACGGCATTCAAAACGCCATTTGTCTGTTTTGGCAAAGTCGAATTCCGTCTAAAAAAATATTTTGGACAGATTAGAAGATACACCACATTAATGCGGGATATACCTCAGCTTAAGAAATATTCCATTGGCCACGGTGTGGGGAGGGGGGAGCTGTCTAAGCGATACCCTCAATTTAAGATACCATTTTCTCAATCCCAAAAGGGTATTTTTATGTGAGGCCCTATTCAATATTCCTAACAATTTTCCCCCTTTTCCAAACTTACAATAAGAGAAGTTCCCATCAACGGAACGGGTACTTTAACTTCACTTAAGTCCATCTCAACATTAGGTAAACACAATTCATGTACACTTCTCCATTGTTCATTAGCATATTCTCTAGGACAACAAACATCGTCACTATCCACAAAATTATCAAAACAACAACGAGAAAAATGGTCCCCAGTTTTAGTCTCTGCCAAGCGTTCATCGGAACAGCAAGTTAACTTTGCTTGTAAAAAACGTTGAATACAACAAAGTTGGATTGTTGTGTTAGAACATTTTCCAGAAACACACAAATCAGAAAATAATATTCTGCCTCGACAACAACGATGTATTTCGTTTGGGCGAAGTTGTGTTTGTTGTTGGAAACAACTTTCATCAGAAAAGCCTGTACAGGGTAATTCAAAACCAAAGTTTTTGTCTTGTTGGTTTGTTGAGGAAGAGGAAGAAGAGGAGGAAGGTTGTGTTGGTTCTACTTTTGTTGTTATAGGTTTTGGTATTTGGAGATTTTGGGGAGGGGATTCTGTTGTCCATACTTCTTCATAATTGTAATAATCTTGAGTATCTTCACTTAAATTGTTGTTATTGTTGTTGTTTTCACTCCCTTCTGGGTAAAGAGGGGCTGGTTCTGGGCTTTTATTCAACAGTTCTCGGTTATTAACTGTTGGAATTCGTTGATTTGATGGTCCAGCAACAACAACAGGTTTTGGAGGAGTTGGGGAAGGATAAATTCTGTTTTGTTTTTGTTGCTCTTCCCTTCTTGGAAAATAATTATTGTTTTTATTTTTGTAAGGATCTGATGCATAATTAACAGGTAAGCGAGTTGTAGGTTCGGGGAATTGACGAGTTTTGTGTTTTGAAGAAACTGTTGGCGTTGTTGTCTAAAATTGTTTTAAATAAATAAAATAAACAAAAACATCCAATAAAAACAAATAAAACAAACATTAATTAAAACAACAAACAAATAATTAAATCAGAACAAAACATAGAACAAAAAATCAGAACAACAAAACATCAGAATTATTAACAAATAAAAAATAAATAAATCAGAACAACATTAAAACATCTTCAGAATTACCAACATAAACATGTTTTTGTTGTAATTGTTGAAGTTTTTGTTGTTGTTCTAACCAGTATTTGCGTTGTTTTTCTTCGTTTTCCCTTTGCCTCTGTTCTCTTTCTCTAATTAAACGTTCTCGTTCTTGTAGTTCTAAATGTTTTTGTCTAATTATGTTGTTGTAATTCTGTGTAGTTTCTTCTGGTTTTGGCGTTGTTTTTATTATTTGTTGTTGTTTTGCTGGTTTTTTCTGGGATGTTTTTCCATTTCTTTCTCTTTGTTTGCCAAAAGTTGTTAGAGAAACATTGTTATTATTTATAGAATTTCTGGGGGAATTTGTTACAGCGTTAGATGCGCGCACATTCGGGGTTCCATCAACTCTTGAAATTTGCTAAAAAATTTTATTTAAATTTTTTAAAATCCTCCCACCCCTCTTTCTCTTGTTTCTATTCTTCTAGGCGGTGGATGAAGTGAAGGCCATTCAGGTGCCGGTTTTGTCGAGTCATAATCACAACTACCACAAGGCTGTGCAGAAAGCGTTGCTTGAAGGGCATGGATTGTTGAAGTGAGTGAAGGTGGAGAAGAAGGGGTACTTGGAGAGAGTTTTGCTGAATTACGAGAACATCTGTGGGGATTTTTTGATAAAAATAAGCATTTTCTAAACACAGTATATCCCTAATTTAAAACCCTTCTATTTTGCATACCCCTCTATTATAGACTCCTCCGATAGTAAGTGATTCGAATACCAATGAAATAAAATTTATTTTTTAACCCCCACTTTTATAGATGTACATATTTTCTCTTTTCTTGGTTGTCCACAAAATAGAGGGCAGGCAATTTTTAAATAAAATTAAAATATCTAACCTATCAAATATTAGCTGATCAAGATGGCCTACTCTAAACCAATTCCAAACTGGAGAATCTATAATTAAAAATTAATAAATCATATTCACTATATGAAAGAAGGATCCCCTTCCCTATTAATAAAATTGTAAGGGAGCCTCCTTCCCAATTTAGTGTTTTTTTAAAAATTCTTTAAAATTAATTTGCCTTTATTTTCAAGTTCAAAACGTATTCTAGGATATCTTTGAGCAAAAGAACGCAAATTTCTTTCATCTTCATTTAATTGAGCAACAGCCATAACCCTTACAGAAGGATATTGTTCATCAAGTGAATTAAGCCTTTTTAAAATATTGTCACATTGAAGGGTACATTGTCTTGTAGAGATGAAAGTTAACAATAAAACTCTGAAATGGGGAAAGGGGTATTTATTTTAATTAGAGTCTGGAAGAAATGGAACATAAAGAAAATGTGATTGGAACTGGAAGTGAAGGCCCAGAACTGTGAAACCCGTTAAATTCCCAGTTGAAAAATTCTCTTTTGAAATAATAAAAGTTTTGTGTAGTCGAGAGAAGTGCTACTGAACAGTAACAAATCTTGTTAGGAATAGGAAAGATTCAAGAATTAAATATTGAAGTCCCTACTCTAATCCACTCCCTTCATTTTTACCTCCCACAATAATCTTCAATATGTGCCTTTCCAATTAAAGGCCATTCTCTTGCTTCTTTACAAGGCTCTGAGGATACACGTTGTCTTTGATTGCTTGTTGTTAAAACAAAAAGATTGAAAATATATAAGTAGAAAAATTGAAAAAAGTTTGGGGACATTACTTTAATTGTTTAATAAATTTAAAGTTAGTTTACCTAAAATTAAAAATAAATTTTATTTAGTGAGCTTTTGTTGAAATAATAAAACGGTCGAATCTATCCCAGAAAATAAAAGATTGGAGGGGAAATGATACTGAAAGCTCTCATATGCAAAATGTTTGTTTTCCATTTTTGTTCGAGGCTTAAGGAGCCTTTAATAATATATAGTGTGTAGGTATGGGTGATAATTATAGTCCGACAATTCAGGTTCGAAAACTTGAGAAATGGTTTTTATTTTAGGGGAATGTTTTAAAAAAATCTGAAAAAAGCTAAAATATTGCAAATTGGAATCTAAAATGTCGGACTTTTGTAATGATAATTCCCTCAAAACTAAAACAATAAATTTGATATTGTTTTGAGTTTAGATATTTAAACTAAACTAATTTCTGATCATTGAACAAATCTTTAAAAAGTTTGTATACTTTCTCTTTTTTTAGCTAATAATTTGTTAGAGGTTAAGGGGAAGAATAAAAATAATGATTAATTTTGTTGAGAAAAAAGGCTCTTTCTTTCAATAAACTTTTAAAAAATATTTACTAAATATTTCCTCTTTACTCTCACACATTTCAAGCAAAGAAGAAATTGGCCAAAAGGATCAATCTAAAAAAATTTTTTTTATTTGCTTGAAAATTGGAAAAAGTATGGGTGAAATAAAATATAAAAACAGTTGGTTTGGGTTAAAAAAATATTTTTTTGTTTTAAAAAGTTTGTTGCATACAAGTCAAGAAAAAATAAATTTTACAAGTCTGCGGAAAAAACAAAAATTGGGAAAAGGTGTCAAGTGGTCATGGTCAGTAATTAATGGAATATCTCAGGCACTAGCTTCAAATAGAAAATAGGCAGAAATGACTGTAGTTCTGATAAAAAAATGGAAAGACATTCTTTTACAGTGGTGGGGAGGGGGGGGGGGGGAGTTGGTCATTATACTCATTATATCAGTCATATAGTTTGGCTCGAAAATAGTTTTTAGTATCCATTGACAAATATATTTAAAGTTCCAAAATTTCCCCTAACATCTTTTGAGTTCCCTATGTTTCAAATTTTCACCAAAAACACCACTTTTAATCGAATAATAAATACTAATTTAGCGATTAAAGAATAAAAATATTTTAAATTTAAAAATCTCTCAAAAATAAAGTCCTTTTTTCCTTTAAAAATCTCTTAAATTTTCTATCAAAGTCAAATTGAGCTTCTAATCGGTAGAAGTATTCTCGTTAGTTGTAAAAACAATATCGCTTGAAGCACCCACATCTTCTTGATCAAACTGATCATCATGAGCAAATTCAATTAAATTTACCATTGGCTGATTATCTCCACCAACGTTTACCTTAAAAATAAAAATAATATTTTTTTTGTTTTTTAAACAAAAAAATATTTGAAAGACAACGGAATGACTTTAAGAAAAAATTTTTATACTTGATTATCTTGAACATTTTCATCAACTAAAAATATTAGTATAACAAATTAAAAATTTCTCTAATTTTTAAATTGCCTGGATTGTTAACTACAACATTTCCACCATCATCATTGTTGTCATCCTCATCTTCAACTACACCTGGAGTACTACAACAATTTCCACAATTTACAATTTTAATAATAAAAACAAAAAATATAAATAATTTAAATAATTTAATTGTTGTTGACATTTTTTTAAAAATAAAAAAAATTTTAAGAAAATTTTAAAAGTAAAGCAGAACTGGGCAATCTCTTTAGCTCGTACAAAAGGTTATACGGCAGCAAGAAGCTTAACAATTATTACAAACTAAAAATAGCTAGCAATCCTCACTACTTTAGTAAAGTCCGGATCAGTGCTGGGTATTTGCCATTTGTTGGCTCCAGCTCCGGCTCCGGGGTTTTCAAGAGCCGGGCTCCGGAGCTAGCTCCCGGAGCCATACCCTGCACTGGTCCGGATACTCGAAAGTTTCATTTTGGTATAAGTAACGGTCTGACTAATTTATTTTTTTTTAAAATAAATTATTTAAGATGGAATACACATAAGAATTTAATTTAAATATAGAGGTATTTTAAAAAATCTTTAACATTAAAAAATCTTTAAACTTAACCATCCCCCCTCTCCCTTTTCCATCCCAATTTTTTTTTAAAATAAAATAAATTTTTTTTAATAATTTTAAATTTTTTTTTAAATAAAATCCTCCCCCCCTCCCCAATTTAAAAAATAAATTGACAAAAATTGATTTATTTTGAAAGACTTAGAATGCCGTATGATTCCTCTAAAAGTCTTAGGACCTCTATAAAAAATATTTTATTTTATACCTATAATTTAGAAAAATAAAAAATTGATTTTTGATTATTGTTTAATTTAAATTTTTAAAAATTAAAAATTAAAATATTTAAATTAATTTATAAGAACATCAGCAAGAAAGATTTTAAAAAATAAACTTGTGGATTCGAACTTCCCCCAATTTAACAGGTTATTATTTAGTTGGCCAATGGGTGGTGAACCGTTTAAGTGATACCTTCTATTTAAGATAACCGTAATTACTATAAGATACAATATTTTCAGCCCCAATGAGGTATCCATAAGTGAGGCCCGAATTTATTTAGAGAAATTTAAAAGTCGTTTCCTCGATTTCCTTTTCATCTTTCTTTTTTCCAACAATCTCAACAGGTTGTATTGGTGTCATTAATTGGGTTTCCGTTTTCGAAACATTCCTCTGAATGAGATAATTTTTTATTTGGCGTATTTGACAAATTAAAAACCAAAGCACCAAACCAATAATTAAACAAAAAATGATTGATATTATTCCTAATCTAAATTAAAATTATAAAGAGGAATTAATTATAGGATTGCAGCTTGGGGTACTAGAAAAATCCAGAATTTTTTTGTTAGCCCTAAGTATTTATAGTAATCTACAGCCCTACCCATGGTTAATTCAACCTTAATTCTCAAATTCAGAGTTGGGGTGAAATATTAGATTTGAAAAAGCTACTGGGCCTTAAATTTAATATTATAGTTTATTTAGATAATGGTTATCTGAAAAATAGCCATAATTGCCGTCTCTCATTTACGGTAAATCAAAGCCACAATTTCAGTTTCGGCCAGACTTTACTCTATTAAATATTAAATTAAATAAAACTCACAAATTATTAGAAAATATATTAGCAAATTCTGAGTGTGTAGTTGTTATATTTTTTTCAATAAGTATTTGGACTTGTGATAATAATTGTCTCATTTCTGATAGTTTTATCTTATTCTCCAATATAGCTGTACTATATTCAGATAAATTTTTGTTTTGATGATCAAACGATTGCTGCACTTGTGATAATGTTCTTTTAGTATCTTGCAATGAATGGTGCACTTCAGATATTGTTATGTTATTTTTATTAGAAGCATTATCGTAATCGAAAATTGAGAAATGGTGGATGTAAAACATGAGCAAGTTTTCAATGTACTCCTTTAGCGCTTCAAAATAATTATCTCTTTGAAGATAATGTGCATTTATCTTTGTTGTGGTAATAAACTTGTATATTCAGGGATCCAAATGGCATTCAAAATTTGGATTTTGTTAAATTTCATTGTTGTAGGGGGCTCATTAGAAGCATTATGGTTATCGTAAATTAACAAGGTGTGAATTTTTGAAAGTATTTGAAAATAATTGATGAAAGAAGCAACTGAAAAATGTCATTTGGAACAAGGACGGCAGGATCCCTGATATACTTTATAGTATATCTATTTTTATTTTCTTAATGTTCTTTTTTCAAATTTACTTAATTTTTACATCTGCATTGTTGATCCTTTCATATTCATCTTTATCAAGCTCAACTAGTGAACCCATCCAATAGCAATAACGAAAACCATTTGTATTTAATTCAATACCATGTGTACAACTTGACGTCCAACTTGTAGCATTGCACAGATGCTATAGATAAAATTAAAATGTTTAAATGCTGATTAAATGTTAAAATTCTTTGTAAGTCCGAACTTTTACAAAAATACCTCGAACTTAATTCTCGGTTTTTAAGTTTTATTAAATTTAGATTCTCGAGCAGCATTAATATTCAGAAAGGGTCCAATCCACATTTGTAGCAGCTCTATACCTTATTCATTAAAACATACAGTTTTTTCAGATAATGCACTTTCTGGACGAATTCTTTGTTTTGCTAAAGCCACAATAAGTCTAATTCCTTCTCTAGTACATATAAACTTTGATTTTGGCTAAAAAATTAAATATATTAATAAAATTACTAAATATTCGTTACTCTTTTAGTTTTTTCCTTAAATTCCTCAACTAATTCAACAATTTCTTCTCTCTTTTGATCAGTTAACATTCCATCAGGATCACAAACATAGGCTGGTTTTGAAACACCACAATACCAATAAGTTGTTCTTCTAGGGGATGGGTATTCTTTCCAATCCCATGAATGGGTTTTGATTATTAAATTAATTAATATAATTAATAGAAATTTGAACATTTCTCTCAATAAAAAATTAATAGAAAAAATTTATTTAAAATATTCAATAAAAAAATATTGCAAAAATTATTTTATATTTTTAGTTTCTCACCATTTTTTTGTTCAATCTTGTTCTCTTATTTTTTACATTTGAAGAGATTTTAAGGTTGTTACTTGCACGAACGTGACAAAGAATGTTTATTAAAGAGTTTGAAATTAATTAAATCAGACAGGGTAAATGAATCATTATTCAAAATTTATTATACAAAAATTTTTGATTCTACATTCTGTCAAAAATTATAAGCACCCCCTACTTTTTAAGTAAAAACATACTTTTTTAAATATTTTTAAGTATTTCCTATTCATATTTAAGGAAAAAATAATTAATTAAAATTAATTATGGATAGTGGGGGAAATAGACGAAATTTCATTAAAACAACTGTCAGATAATTCAATTTTCGAGATCCCCTCTCCCAAGCAGGTTTTTTGGCCTCAAACCAATACCTTTTAATTACTCGTTTTTACTTATGAAATAAACAAAAATTAAAATTGTCAAAATTTTCTGATTGTAAAGCATATTGATAGTTTTTTTTAATCAAATTTATTTATTTGTTTACATCAAAATGACGCAAAGGTTGCAAATAAAATTAAAATTCACAACAATGCAACAAAAAAACATAAAATTCGAAATAATCTTAATATTTAAATTAAATTATCTACTTGAGAGTAAATATAAAATTTGAAGAAACTAGTTCATGATAAATGTTTTCTGATAATTTTTCAAAAATTGGAAGGTGTATTTCTTCGAATTACTATAGATATGAATTATATATTTAGTCTAGATGTCCTAATAAAATAGGAATTACATCTCTAACCATGGATGAACAGTTCGGAATAGTCAATTTGTATTCTTCCCCACGATAAATTATACAGATGTTATTAATTTTTGAAAAATAATGTTTTGAAATAAAATAAAATCAATTTCAAATATTTTTAAATTTATTTGGACTTAAATACATATGTAGGATCCCTATTTCATCGCACTTAAAAGACACAATCAAACTATTAATTTCATTTATTAAATAATTACCGTGTCCCTCTCTCAAATAATTACCCCCGCCCTATTAATTACACCCTACAGCCAGAGATCGAAAAAATAATTACCCCTCTTAAAAATAGCTATAATTAGTCTTTCTGAAAAAAGCTCAAATAATTACCCCCTCCCTTTTAATTACCCCTTCCACCGAGAAGTTGAACCAATAATTACCCAGAGTAATTATTTTAGCAAATACGGTATTTGTTTTTAAATAAATTTATAATCATAATTTAGTTTATAATCTTGTAAAGGAATAAAGGGTCTTTTAAAATGGCTCTAAATGGCTCCTTCTAATTATAACTTTTTATCTGATGAATAAAAGATATTAAAAGCAAATTAAATGAATTAATCATCTTCAACTTCTTCTTCATCATCAGTATCATCATCATCACTAGTATTCTTATCATTATCAGATGTAAAACACTCACTTCCAACTCTGCTTCTTATACCCTAAAAATTTTTATTTTAAGGAAAAAACTCGACTCGAAATTTGTTTTATTTTTTAGTTTAGGAGAAGAAACAGAAATTTTGAAAAATTCCTGAGAGATGAAAAATTTAATTTGTTATTATTAAGGAAATTATATTTATAGTTTTTTATGTTACATTCGAACCCCGATATAGTGACCAATTAATTTAACGAACTCTCTAAATAACAAGAAAATCCTCAGTCCCAGAAATAAATTTATCCCTAAAAAATTATTCGATTCCTTCAAGTTCGTTATATTGAGAGTTCAGACTTTAATTAAATTAATTACCAAATTGTCTTGAATATCAAGTACTTCGTTTTCATCAAAACCTTTAAAAAATTAAATAATATTCCTTAAACACCCCCAAAAAGCCCCCTCAATTAATTAATTAACCTTCAAAACCATTATTGTTACCCTCATCAACTTGTGGAGTACCACAACAATTTCCACAATTTACAATTTTAATAATTAAAACAAAAAATATAAATAATTTAATTAATTTAATTGTTGTTGTTAACATTAAAAAAATTTTTTTGATTTCTAATAAATTTTTTTGGCATTATTACAAACTAAAAATAATTCTCCACAAACTTCCCGACATTATTAAATAAAATGTTCACCCAACAGAACCTCCTCTACCCCCACAAACAACTCCAAACACAACACTACAATAACGAACATTATTTGGAAATCTTCAGCTAATTTGTTTATATTTACTCATACACATTTGCGAGTACGAACTTTGCTATTGAGTAATTACTAATTAAAATAAATTAAGTTTTTAATTAATTGAGAGGGCTAACTTTTAATTAAGACTACTTATTAAAAAAAATTTTTTTTTAATTTAAATAAATTAATAAAAAATATAAATTAATTTAAAAATTTTTTAACTTAAAAATGAATTAATTAATTTTTATTTATATTTAAATTAAGCTCCCCCTTTTCTTTCTTCTTTAAATTTTAATTGACTTTGTCTATAATTTCTTTTGTCTATTATTTTCATGGATCATTTTTGAGAACCATGAACCAATAAAATAATCCATGAAAAAAATTGTTAAAGTACTTTTATATATTTTTATTTTGGGAAAACATCAAAAGATTTCCAAATTACCCGACTTACTTTTAAATTAGCACTTTAATAATTACTCTCTCGACATTAGATATACCTCTATTTATTTTTTAAATGTAAAGAATTATATTTTAATACTTTCCCGTTATCCCTACAAACTTTTTTGGAGCTAAAAAGGCAATAACATTTATTTTCTTTAAGCAAAACAATAATATGTAGAGACATGTTCCAAAAATTCAAAAATATCCTTTTGTAAACCAAATTGTTTCAATTAAAAAATTAAGCCTTCCTTTATTAATGTCCCTCATCTAAATATGCCACAGGGGAAATAAATTTAAATTGAGGAAGGAAGATAGTTTGACCATTATGTACAGCTTTTCCTTCTCCCAGAAAAGGAAGTCCGAATAAGTGTATGTAGTATGTAAAATTCAGAATTATTCACAACAAAACGAAGGACATTAAAAATTGTTTTGTAGGAAACGAACAGAAGAAAACCAAACGAGATTAACGAAACAACAAAACGAAACAAAAAGTTTCCTCAGTGTTTACAAGAGATAACAGAAAAGTACTCAAAAACACCAAAAATTAGCCCTTCAGAAAAATTATTTTATTAAAATCTAAATGTTAACTTTTTTATTTTATTTTTAGATGTTTAAATTTATATTAATTATTTTATTTTTAAATTTAAATATTTATTTAAATTGTAAAGGTAAATTAATTAAAATTGAAGTTAAAATTAAAGATGATTGGGAAGAAAAAAGAGAATTTATTTATTTAAAAAATATTGGGATAAAAAAACGTTTTGTATTAAAAACAAATAAAAAGTATAATAAACAAGATTTAAATTGTAATTATTTTAAGAAGGAATTTTTCTGTCCAGTTGAATTAAACTTTGATAAAAATATTTTTAATGTTGGAATATATAATAAATCAGAATTTATTCCTTCTATTCAATTAAAGAGGAAAGTTTTGATTGAAATATTTAATAATAAAATTATTCAAAATATTTTGCCTGAATTTGAAAATAGGGTATTTTTTATTGTGAATATTCCAAAAATTAACAAAATAGAGAGATGAGCATAGACCGATAATCATTAAAATTTAGACCAGAGTGGATCGAAATTCCAATTTCCGACGTTTTTTTCCCTTCCGATTTGATTTCCGATATGCGATTTTTGAGCCAGTTCCGATTTCCGCCACTTCTGACTGTTCTGACCCTCCCTCTAGTTTAGCCTAAATAACTCCCCTCCAAAACTTAACAACAATTTAATTTTTTCATAATTTTAAGATGCTCCGATATAATAATTTTATTGTTATAAATAATTATTATTATGAAACTTCTATATTAAATGAGGATTCAGAAAATATAAAAATAAATTATAAATTGATAAAAGAAAATATTAAAAATTACAAAAACAAACTTTTATCTAATTATTGGACAGAGATTAATTTAATTGGATATAAAATTAAATTGTTAGAAAAACAAAAAGCTGAGGAATATACGGAAGAAGGAAAGATTGTGTATAAGAAGATTGAATACACTAAGGAAGAAAGCAAAATTATTTACATTGGAAATAAAATAAGTAAATAAATCCCCCTTTTTTTGAGTAAAAAACTTTCATTTTTAATTATTCTTAGACAGAATTATCGAAGGAAATGAACGAAATTGCTTTACTTGTAGAGCTAAACAATCCAAAAAATGGTATAAATATTTGAAAGAAAATTATTTTTGCTACAAGTGTGGTATTTATTTACTAAAGGTTGGAAAGCTTAGACTGGCTAATGTGTGGAATAAAAAGGTTTGTCCTTGTTATGTCCAAGGATTGCCAATGTAGATAAGCACAAAGATTTGTCAAGTACAGGAAATACGCAAAGGAAGGTTGTAGGTAAAAGAGAAGTGAGAGAGAGAGAGAACATTAAAGATCTTTGTCCAAATACAACAGTCTTTATCCATAATTAAGTTTAGTTGAGGGGATTGTTGATCTTTTAATTTATTTGTATCGGAATTCTCATTGATTAAATCTGATCCATAATTTAAGGGATGGTTTCGGCCGTTATACTAGAGTTGAACCGGATTAGGATTCGAAAAAACCGGAATAATCCCGCCCGATACCGATTCAGCTCAACCCTACGTTATACTAGATAAGTGTTTTATATATTGTTGACTAATAATAGTATAAGGATTGTAAATAGATCAACATAAAATTAAACTTTCTTTTAAAGTCTACCAAAAAACACGGTCATAAATGTTATTTATGCGGTGTTACAGAAACACCATCTTGGCGCCGTCATTCAGAATTTGGACATTATTTATGTAATGCATGTGGCCTTAAAAAGCGTGGTACAAAGAAGGGAAGTAAAAATTTAAAAGAAAAAGATTTGAATAAATTGTAGATATTTAGTAATGAAAAGTTTTATATTTTTTACAAATTTTAATTGTATTTTCGAGCTGATTCGAATAATGGTTAAATAATGCTCTTATCTAGTTCTTGAGCCGAGATATGAATCTTTAAAGGATAGATTGGAATATACATAAGATTGGATCATTAAGAGCGAAGTAACCAAAGTTATAATACACACGCATATTACCAGACCTTAGGTTTTAACACATAGAACCGGGTACTTAATAAATGTGATTGGACACATCAAAGTTATTGGACGCATAAAAATTCGTTTGGACGTATAAACTTTTCATTGGACGTATAAAGGTACGATTGGACGCTTAAACTGGACAAGAGCCCATGTTTTTTGACAATTTTAGATGTTCGGGCGCAAATATATTTAATATCGATGAACCAAATTTTTAATATTTGGTTCCATAAATTTTCTTAAAGTTTTATCAATAAAATAAAAAAAGAAAAAGCTCCCTCAATTTCCCCACCCTGTAGAAGACCAATTAACATTTAAAGTCCAAAAAAAGCAAATTTTTCACAAAAAATTTAAAAAAATACATAAATAGGTATGTACAATTGTTTTAAAAATACAGCGATTAAAAAAAAGAAAATTTGTTTAAAAATAATTTTTAAAAATAATCAAAAGATTGTTTAGTAAAGAATTTCTTTGTTTCTTACATAAATTAATCATTATGTATAACAATAATCATCATCATCATAATAATCATTATCAGTTGAAAAACATGCACTAGCAGTACTGCTATGACCCTAAAAATTTTATTTTTAGAAAAAAATCGAAATTTGTTTTATTTTTTAGTTTAGGAGAAAAAGAAATTTAAAAAAAAAACTTCCGAGAGTTGTTATTGTTAAAGAAATTGTGTATATTTATAGTTTTTATGTTACATTCGAGCCCCGATATAGTGACCAATTAATTTAACGAACTCTCAAATTAACAAGAAAATCCTCAGTCCCAGAAATGAATTTACTCCTAAAAAATTATTCGATCCCTATATTGAAAGTTAAGACTTTAATTAAATTAATTACAAAATCGCTTTCAAAATCCTGTATTTCGTCGACTTCAAAACCTTTAAAAAATTAAATAAAATTCCTCATACATACAACCAAAAAAACCCCCTCAATTAATTAATTAATCTACCTTGAAAACCATCATCATTATCCCCATCATTGTTAACCACATAATTGTTACCCTCATTAACCTGTGGTTTACCAAAACAAATTCCACAATTTACAATTTTAATAATCAAAACAAAAAATAAAAATAATTTAAATAATTTTTGAGTTGTTGACATTTTTTAAAAAATAAAAAAAAATTTTTGAATAAAATTACAAACTACAAACTAAAAATAATACATACATACCGTATTTTCTCGATTAATCCCCCTGGGGAACACAATGCTCCACATAGCTATAACCTCACCTACAGAAATCGTATTAGGAATGCTTGAAAAAATTTACAAAAAATTTATGCAAACATTTCCATTAATAATAAGTGAAAAAGCAAAAAGAACGAAGTCTGTAAGGGATTCTTTCATCGAGTTCCAAAATTACAAAAATCAACGGGAAATGGGGGATACAGTACTTAAAAAATATTTTCAAAATCGTAGACTGTATGTAAAATTTTTTATTTAGCTCATCTGAAAGCCAATAAAATTAGCTACAAAATACACTAGGTCCTATCCTAAAGAAAAATTCCAGAACAGAGAGCCATCGATTAAGTTTAAAAGTTTGAAATAATGGCAATTTATGGGGTAATTTGGGTTAATTTACTCATCGACTCCTTTATATCCAGTGGTGAACCTTTAACCTTACCCCCCCCCCCAAACAATTACAACAATTACCCCGAATCCTGAGGGCACGTTTTTCTGGGTGTGTTGGAGTATGACTGACAGAATAACACTCACAATTTATTGCCAGTCATCCTCCAACGCACCCAGAAAAACGTGCCTCAGGATTCGGGGTCAAACCCTAATTACAACCACAACACTACATCATTACACAGACAAGTTTTTTGGAACTTATATGGTTTGGGTACTCTTTTTTAGCCACGCCCTTTTTTCCTCTTACAGCATTATTCTTTTACTGTTCTTCCTTGTCTCCTATCAGTCAATTTAGCTGAGGTCAATTTTTTGTTTAAGATATACAAAAAATCAGTGAATAAATAGGTCTAGAGCTCATTATATCTCTTCGAGATGAGTGAATGACACCAGAATCTGTCAGTGATATCTCTGAACTGAGTTACAGGGGCCAAAAATGGGGTGAAAATTGTCAATACTTTGAGAAAAAATGCCCGAAACGCACAAAAATACCGGATAATTAGTTATAGAACGAAGACTTGGGTCCATTTAAACAACTAAATAGATAAAATTACATAGATTATCGATTCAATTTTTAACTTCTATTTTTGACATTGGAAAGAAAAAATAATCTTTTCTTTGTTTTTGTCAGTCATTGAACATGCCACAGGGAAAATTGAGTGAAATTGAGGAAGAAAAAATGCTGACCATTCTGTCCATATTAAGGTTGATTGATGATGGAAGTGGAAAAAAGGGCGTGGCTAAAAAAAGAGTACCCAAACCATATAAGTTCCAGTTTTTTAGTGAAAATTAATTTTACAGTGCAGGAAAAAAAGATAGAGCCAAGGGCTGTTGAATTAGTTCTTATCGATTATCTCTTTTCGATTAACATTTAGGAAAAAAGTTTCAATACAAAAATTGTTGATCTTTAAATTCTCTTTAAAATGAGTATAAGTATGACTATGATTTACCGACAAAATTTTGGCTAAAAAATTTTTTAAAAATACTACCCTATTTTTGGGGTGGAAAAAAAGATAGAGCCAAACCATAAAAAATTAAAAATCCCAATTTTCGTTCCGTCAAAAATTCTACAAAAATTCCTGCCAACATTTCCATCAATACTGAGTAGAAAAATAAAAAGAATGAAGTCTGCAACTACTTTTTTCATCGAGATCTCAAATCGCAAAAATCAACAGAAAATGTGGGTACAGTACTTTGGAAAATATTTTGACCCCCTAGAGCCTAAACAAAAAATTTTATTTTAGGCTCATTAGAAAGCCCATAAAATTCTCTACAAAAATATCTCAACAAAAAGTTTTCCGCCAAAAGATTCATGGAGATAAAGGCCGGGAATTAGAGTAAGTTATCATTTTTGGGGTATTTTGGGAGGTTTTAAGCATTTTTAATGTAAAATGAACTTGCGTCAAACAGATATTTTTTAAAAAAAAATAAGTTCCTGACTACTTTGTAGAGAATTTTATGGGCTTTCAAATGAGCCTAAAAGAAAAATTTTATATAAGCCCAAGGGGGCTAAAATAATTTTTAAAGTACTACACCCCAGTTTTCCCTTGATTTTTGAGATTTGAGATCTCGGACAAAAAAGAAGTTATAGATCTCGTTCTTTTTTCTGTTCTACTCGTTATCGATAGAAATGACCCCAGAAATTTTTGGAAATTTTTTGACCGAACGAAAATTGGGATTTTTAATTTTTTATGGTTTGGCTCTATCTTTTTTTCCACCCCAAAAATGGGGTAGTATTTTTTAAAAATTTTTGGTAAAAAGTTTGTTAATAGATCATAGTGATATTTATACTCATTTTAAAGAGCACAAAGATCTACAATTTTTTGTGTTGAAACTTTTTCCTAAATGTTAATCGAAAAGAGATAATCGATAAAAACTAATTCAACAGCCCTTGGCTCTATCTTTTTTTCCGGCACTGTAATTTAGACTATTTTTTAGAATTTTTGTTATAATTAAATAAATTTAAAAATGATTTTTGAATTTATTAATTTATTTTTTATATACTACTTCCCCTTAAAATTTTTTAAAAAGTGCATTTGACTTTTTTATTTAAAATTTTAAAATTGTCTATTAATTTCTTTGTCTCTTAAAATTTTAATTGCTTTTTTTTTCTTGAAAATTGATTTTATAGGTAATATTCTTATTTAAATAATTTTTTTATTGATTAAATAAATTAAAATTTTCTCTCCTTTTTTTTAAATTTAATATACAGGGTGCGGCAAATTAAGCGCGCGTTTGTTTTTTGCCATAACTTTCTTCAATTTTAATGAAAATTGATAATTCTTTTTTTGTTTTATTCCCAACACGTTAGGAAACTTGCTGATACCAAACATTAAAAATTTGGTTCACTGTTGGCAAAGATAATCGAGTTCGATCGTCTGGAAAATTTAAAAACATTTTTTATGCCAAAGTTTAATTGATCATAACTTCGTTCAAAATCGTTCAATACCAATGATTTTGGTACTAAACGACTCATCTCGTTCAGGAGCATCGAAATAGCTTATAATCTCATTTTTGAAAATTTTACACAAAAATTTTATTTTTATAAAAATTATTTTAATTTATATTCAGAGGACCGTATCTCATTCGAGTTTTGTCGTAGCCCCATGATTTTTATGTCATTCGAATCAGAATGAAGAGCTGATTCGAATGATATAAACAAATCCAATATTAAAATCCCAGCCTTGAATCTAGGCCAATTTTTATCCAAAAAATTCTGCTCAAACTTTGAGGGAAGTTTACTCAGAGTAAACTTAAAATTAAAAAGCAATTTTGGTATCGGCAAGTTTCCTAAAGTGTTGGGAATAAAACAAAAAAAGAATTATCAATTTTCATTAAAATTGAAGAAAGTTATGGCAAAAAATAAACGCGCGCTTAATTTGCCGCACCCTGTATATTTTTAAAAATTAATTTAAATATTTAATTTATAAAAATGAAAAACAAAAAGACTGTCTCGATTATTTACATAAGCTTAAACCAATACAAACATTAGTCGGGATTTTATATGCCCTTAACATGTATATGATTTGAATACTCCAAAAAGGGAGCAGGCCAGTGTACCGCCGAGCTATAACTTTGTTCGAAATTGCTGAATCCGTGGCGCCCTGGTATGGTTTGATTCAGCTGGTCAAGCCGCATCGAACCATATCAGGGCGCCAAGGATTCGACAATTTTGAACAAAGTTATGGCTCGACGGTACATTCGGGGTATACCCCTCCAAAATTAGACAACACCTATCTAGTTTCCATTAAAAATAACGTCATAAATTTGAAAGAAAAATTTATTTTACGTTAAAAAGTCAAAATTGAGCTCGTCAAATAGATGAAATTAAAAATAAAAAAATTTAACTTCCCTCAATATTCTCAAAAATTTATAATTTAATTTAAACCCACGGAGGTACAATCGGCGCTGGATTTTGTAAATAACTCATTACCTTAAATTTTAAAAATAAAAAATAATTCCTTTCCAAAACAAACCACAGCAGATATTGAAAGCATAAATGAAGAAACAATTTGTTTTGTGTCGTCAGATGCTCGGACATTGGCAAAGGAAACACAGGAACAAAAAAGAGCTACCCACGAACACCATTTAAACTTTAAAAATAAAATTTTTAAAAAATATTTGCGGATAAAAATTGCGGACAACACAAAAATAAAAAAAAATAGTTTAGGTGTAAGGACCCTTGTCTCAGCCAGCATTTTTAATTAAGAAAACAGTTTACGCTTATGTAAGCTTCATAAAATTACGCATGATTGTGTCTCATTTTTTCATGTAATTTTGGTTAAAAAACGCAAAGAGACTTTTATGCGACCTTCACTTTTTTGCGGACAATTTTAATAACTTAAGAGGAAAAATACTAGAAGCAACTCCCAACAAGATTAAAGTACTTATAAAAATTGGTATGACATTTTCTGTTGACTTTTTATATTCCTTATCCTTTTGTGTCAATAATTCTAGCTTAATTTTATTTCTGTATATTTTTAAATTGGGGACTTATGTTGAAAATTTTAATTTTAAATATTCGACAAATTAAACAAAGAGAAAATCCCCTAAAAAGCCTATTTAAATATCCCCGTTACTCTTTATTCGGTGCGATCATAATTACCCGCGTATTTTATTCAAAATTAAAATACTAAAAATATAAGCAAAAATAGTATCAATCAACGAGATAATCACCATGGAGATAATTTAGAGGCACCTATAACAGCCTCTAAAATTTTAAAATTTTTTGTTAAGTATAGTAAGAGTTATGGTCGAAAAATTCGGGGTAGTCAAATTACTGATTTTTAGCAAATATATCGAAATATCTTCACAATTATTGGTAAATGGTTGGCATGTGATTTAAAAATTTTAAAAATTTTATAATTTAAAAATTTTATAGAATTTTGTTAATACTATCTTGTGTAACTTAGAAAGGGCTTTCGAATGGTATATTACAAGTCATATCAAATCCAAAAATTTTTCAAGAAAATTTGAAATTTGTAAAATATGCTTGATTCGACTTTTTCGACCATAACTTTTGAAATACCTAACCAAAAAATCTCAAATTTAAAAATTTGATGGACAAACCCATGATGAACATATATGAAAAATTTCACTTGGGTTGGTTTATTTCTTTTTATATTATAGAATTTTCCGCTAAAACTCAAAAATGCTTTCCGAGTTAGGGGTATTCCAGAGGTCCTAAAACGAGTTTAAGACATGAAAGTGAAAAGACCCTAAGTGAGATTATAGAGCAGATTCAGGGCTACAAAATAGCTTAAGTCACAAAAAAAGTTGAAACTATTTTTTGTGTTTATTCAATCTAGAAAAAATACGCGGCTAATTATGATCGCACCGAATAAAATTCCCAATTAAAAAAATTAAAAACCTTCATCATTAATCCCATCATAGAGAAAATCATCCCCAAAATATTCATATATTCAGGAATACTGTCTTCAGTTGAAAGGGGTTGGAGAACATTTGGATCTGTTGGTTTAAACCTTTAAAAAAAGAAAATTTTTTTCTGAAGAAAATATTAAAATTAACCTGACAATTTTATTTGGTCTACGTACATCTCCATTACTATTCATTATTTAAAAAAATATTTCTTAAAAATTAAAATTAAAAAACGTTGAAATCCTTTGAATTTAAAAGATTCAAGAGTTGAGACTCAAATGTCTCAACTATAAATCCTAAAAATTATAGAAAAATAATTAGAGAGTGTGGTGAGTGATGAGACGATAAAGAAAAATAATTTAAATTAATTTGGGATCAATTGTCATTTTTTAACAAAAATAACTTTTGCGAACAAATGGACTTTTCTCTTTTTAATCGCGGTCAATTGAGAACTTATAATAATTTTGTAACCCCGTTGTGATTCATGATTTTCTTTTGTTTTAAATTTTAATTTTTTTAGAAAATTTTAGTTTAAAAACATCCTTTCTTTATCAATTCAACAATTTCAAATAAATGCTAAATCGTTCTCAAGAAATGGAAGAACAATGTTTACCTATTGTTTCACTTGTAATTGTAGCAGACAAAACTAGATGTCCGGCAAATTTTGTTCCGGTTTGTTTATTTTTTTGATAATTTTTTGTTTTGTGGGGGGGGGCATGCTGACTAAAAATATATTTTAGAGTTGGGGATAGGGAGTTCTGACGGGAATACGTCAACAATCAAGCTGCACGATCCTCGATCTTTAATGGGAAAAGGGAAATGAAATTAACTCCAAAAATTTCAAGAAATAACTTTTTTAAGATAACCTCCACTCACGACGACAACAGCGATGCAGATTTGTGGAAGGATGGCTTCGGTTTTGGTATATTTACTCGTTCTGTCAGATATTTGGCTGTTAATAGACGAGTTGCTGATACGGTTTTTTAAATTTTTTATGTCGAATTTTACAATTCTTTAAGAATGGACCTTTGGAGGTTTTGACTGATTTGGCTGTTATTTCTGACAAAGAAGCTGTGCCTTCTAGCTTTATTTGTTTAGACTTTACTGTTGATACAAGTTTGTTTTTTTTGTTAATGAAGGAACTAGATTTTACTTATGGATAATTTTAAGTTCCCCCCTCTTCTCCATCCGCATTTTTCTTTCTTAAAAGTTTTTACTGATTTGTTTGAAATCAGCCTGTCTAAGTGAACTTTTAACGTCATTGATTTTTCATCTTTGTTAGATTATAGGCCATAGGATCAGAGCCATATCAATTTAGAATATTAAAAATTAGTTAGAATTATGATAATGGTGAAGTAGGGTCTATTACCTATATGAAATGATTATCAGAAGAAATAATAATTTTTAAAAATGTACTCCAAATTCTTCACTATTGCCTATTTTTAAAATCATTTTTTAAAAAATTTTCAATTTTTAGAAGAAAGAGCTTTAAAGAAAAAATTTCTTTGTGCACGCTTTTCTCCTAGAAACGAAGCTTTGGATGCCGTTACAAATATTATAATTTTGGGGAAAACTAAACGACCACCTCGTGGATATTCTTTAGCAGGGTTTGTCTTTTAATTAAATTAGTTAAAAGGATTTTTTATTGCCATTTTTATGATAATTAAAAGTTGTTACTTCCTCACTGTCCTCACCCTTCCTTCTTTTCTCCTTTTCCAACAAATTTCCAAGATATCTAGGGATTTACGTGGATTAAGAGAATTTGGGGAAGTATACTGGCCAGGTTTTGGGGAACCAGCCTTTTAAATACAATATAAGAAATATATATAATTTTTAAAATTTTTTGAGGCTATTCTAATATTCGTTGAAAATTTTAATAAATGAAAAAAGGTCAAAAAGGAAAAAAATAACTTTTTTGATAGAATGAAAAACGTTTAAATAAAACATTTTCAATTTTTGGAAAAATAAAAAAAAATTGGAAAGAGAAAACTTTAAAAAAGAAAAGAATAAAGGTTTAAAAATAATTTTTAAAAATTCCAAAAATAATTTTTTAACAATTTTTAGAGAAGTCGATGGAATGTCAATTTGTTTTAAAGTCAGTACTATACCTGAAAATTATGGTCGTTTAACACACAGCCAGTCACATGAATTGGAGTAATTTTTTTTAATTTTGTTTTTAAATTTAAAAATTATTTTTAAGTCGACTCGGAAATTGTAATCTTTCTTCTGCTTCTCCAGCCGTCACGGGTCTATATCCAACAGTAAATAGACACTCAACTAGTGATTTGGACAAAGTGGGACAAAATGTCATTCAATCGGTCTTTTTTAAATTTTTTTACTTTTGAAATATTTTCTTAAAGACAAATCAGCACAATATTAATGCAGTTTTTAGAGGAATTGATAGAGTCCCGTTTGAATTAAATCCACTTTTTGCGTTTGTGTTGAGTGAGAAAAATGTTGTAAGTTTTGTTTTAATTGAATTTTTTTTCTACTTTTTTAAGAAACTTTTTAAATTATTTTTTTTTAATTTTTGAAAATTTTTTACAAAACTATTTTTTTATAAAAAATTTTTTGGAGCGATTTTAAAAATTATTTTTATTTAAAATTAGTTTTAAAAGTTAAATATTTTTTTGCAATATTTACAAATCAATTTCTTCCCATAGAATCTCCTTTTTCTCTTAATATTTATATTAATTTTCCAAAAATTTTCAATTAAAAAAATTAATTTCCTTTTCCATTCAGCTTTCCAAACTTCCCCCAATACCCAATTTACGAGCATTAGAGGCTAAATATATTGATAAATACAACTTTCAATTGGAACGTTCAATTATTTCTCCAGCAACAACGCCATCTTCACCGCCTAATTTTAACAATTTTAATACTTTTTAATTAAAATTGAGAAGAAAATTAAAAAGGAAAAAATTTTCAATAAATTGACAAGCATTTTTTAATTTTAAAATTAAAAAAAATTTATTTTGAATATATAAATACTATTTATTTTGTGTATAAATTTACTTAATATTTAATTTTTTAATTAATGTTTTGATGTTTAAATAAGTATTTGAATTTATCAATGTTTATTTTAAGGGATGTTTTTTACTTGGTTGCTTATACATATGTTTTTATGTTAATTTTTAAATAAACTCGAACAAACTAACGTTTAAATTAAAAATAATGGTCAAAATTGATAAGGGCCAAAAAAATTGACAAATCCCTAATTTTAAACGAAATCTAGCAAATTTCTAAAATTTAAATATGTATATAAATATTTTAACCGAATAATAAAAATAAAGAAAATAATTTAACGAAAAAGTCTGTCAAAATCATCCAGTCAAAATCTAAAAATTTGTTTTTCTAATCGGTAGAAGTATTTTCGTTAGTTGTAAAATCAACATCGCTTGAAGCACCCTCATCTTCCTGATCAAAATGCCCTTCATGAGCAAATTCTAACAAATTTACCATTGGCTGATTATCTCCACCAATGTCACCCTAAAAAATAAAAAGAATATTTGAGTTTTTTAAACAAAAAAATATTTGAAAAACAATGGAACGACTTTAAGAAAATTTTTTTATACTTGATTATCTTGAACATCTTCAACAACTAAAAATATTAGTATAAAAAATTAATTTTTTAAATTATTAAATTGCCTGGATTGTTAAATACAACATTTCCAACATTATTATTGTTGTCATCCTCATCATTGTCCCCATTTGCACAAGCAGAAAAACAATTCCCACAATTTACAATTTTAATAATAAAAACTAGAGTTGATCAAGACGAGACCGATACCGAGACCGATACCGAGATTCTCGGCTTTTTTCCAATATCGGTCTCGGTTTTTTCATTCTCGGTCTCGAAACCGATACCGATATTCTCGGTCCATTTCTCGGCGAGAAACGATACTGACTAAAAGAAATAAAATCATCAATATTGACCAAGTTTTCGTCAATAATTTTTTTCGGATATCCGTACATAACAGAGAAAGTGAATTTTTTTCGAATAAGGTATTCTAAAATTCAAAAAATTTTCGCCTGCGGCGCTGAAAAACTAAGAAATTTGGTGACTTGGCCTTCCAAAATTAATAAATTTTCGTCTGCGGCGCTGAAATGTTGAATTTTCCGAGCCCTCGGCCGTTAGATTTTCAAAATGTTGATTACAGAGCCTTCCGATTTTCGGCAACTGTTGTTCTCACCAGTGGATTAAGGGGATTTAAAGCGATCGGAAGCAGGGATGAGCGCATTGAGTTTTGCGTATCTGAGGACAAAAATTGGAAAAAATCTGGCTTCATAACCTTTTAAAATTCTCAAATTTTTGTCTGAGGCGCTGAAAATGAGAAGAAAACTGGCTTCTTGGACTTTCAAAACTACAAATTTTTGCCTGCGGCGCTGACAATTGGAAGAAATCTGTTGACTTGAACTTCTAAAATTCTAAAAATTTTTGCCTGCGGCGCTGAAATAATGGTTTGGTTAACCGAAATTTTCACTTCGGCCATCTGCGGATACCCGAGGATGGATCTGCCTCAAAAGTTGTAAGGATATAATTGGAACAGATGTCGACCTCACGGATATACCTATTCGGATACTGACACAAAAATTAGTATGCATTGCTAAGCCAGATCGGATCCAGATGATGAAGCGTATTTATCTGATGATTTGGATGATGAAAATAATGAATAAATTATTTTTACACGTATTTTTTGACATAAAATAAAAATTTCTGTGGGTCTCGGTCAGTATCGTTTCTCGGTATCGGTCTCGGCTCAAAATGATGGTATCGGTCTCGGTATCGGGTTCTTGAGTATCGGTCAATCTCGGTCTCGGGTTGGCCGATACCAGTATCGTTTTGATCAACTCTAATAAAAACAAAAAATATAAATAATTTAATTGTTGTTGTTGACATTCTTTAAAGATAAAAAAATTTTTTCTTTGAATTTTTTTAAAAAATTACAAATTAATTTAAAAGAGTTTATTTATTTATTTATTTATTTATTTATTTATTTATTTAATACGTAAATTAATACGCGTCCACAATTAAAATACAACAAATTAAATTCAATAAAATACAGTATCATTATTGGAAATTATAGGTTAATTGGGAGTATTATTAGGAAGAAATTTAGAAAAATTAAAAATGTTGAGTTTTTTTAACAATTTATTTTCAAAGACTTCAGTGATTAGTATCTGTAAAAATTTTTAGACATTTAATTTAATACTTCTTGTTTTTTTGAATACAATGTCAAGTTAAGCAGCAAAACCCTTACCGAATTAGTGTTAAGGAAGCCTATTCTGACCGAGCTAAAAAAACTATTTAGGTAGTTACTATTACCAAATTTAGTATTTAACATTTTTACTCATCGAGTTAAAGAGATTGGTACCAAAGTTGATAAGGGCCAGAAATTTTCCAGCAAATTATGGATTCGCAATTTAAAAGAATAAAAAAAATAAAATAAAAACACCCCACACCCCAGAGGGAGGTTGGAACAGTCCGAGGTGTCGGAAATCGGAAATGGCTCAAAAGTGGAACTCGGAAATCGGAAATCAAAATTTTTTTCGGAAATCGGAATTCCAACCTACCTCTGCCACCCCCTACCCATGAAAAGGGAGTAACTTATAAAAACCATGCGACACACATTGGACAATAAAACACAACAATTAGATTTATTTAAAGGAAGTATTTTTAATAAATCTCTTAAAATACAAAAAAATCAAAGGAGGGTAGCGCCTAAAAAAGAATTTAAATGAAAAATATTTTTCTAACTTTGATGAATTACTGCCTACTGCACAGCCTAATTCCTAAGGCTGTTCAGTAGGCGGCGTGGTGTAATGGCTAACGCATCAGTCTGGTTTACTGAAGATGCTGGTAGGCTCACAGCCGCCGGATAACTTTTTGCACTAGCTGAAGGAGTGAAAAAGCTATAGCCCGGCTGCTTTACTATTAAATATTTTTTTTAGAATTTCTGAGCATTTTCTTAAATTTTTTAATTTAAAAATGATTTTTTAAATTTATTAATTTTTATATTTAAACTCCCCCTCTCCTCTCAAAATTATTTTTTTTCAAAATTACTATACCTTTTTGTATTATAAATTAAAGATTACCTTCTTTTTTCTACGATTTACTATTTTTTTGAGAAATAAAAAAATTGATTTTAAAATAAAAATTACTATTTTTAATTAAAAAAATAATAATTTTAATTATTTAAATATATTTTTAAAATTAATTTATAAAAAATTTAATTTTTAAAAATTTAATAAAAAATATAAAAAACACTTATAAACATTTACATATCCTTCATAATCCCCCGATATCATCAGAACAAAAAAATCAGTTCAAAATTGAAATTTTTCGATATTTGGAAAAAAATAAAATTGATTGGGCCCAATCGTGCCGCGACTACATAGTTGTGGTCTTCTAGATCTATTTCTTCGCATATTATTTTTATAAGGATATTATCATTTTTAAGGTGCCAACTTCGAGAAGCTTTATTCCGATAAAACTCTGTAGATTTAAAATTCCAACTAATACTTTAAAGTGCAAATTGCATCCATTTGCCTATTTTAAGTTTCGGAAAGAATAAAAGAAAAAAATTTCTAAAAGAATTTTTAAAATCCATAAATGAATTTCTCTTTTGATATAAAAAAATTGGGACCAAATTTAAAATTATTATTTTTCGAGTGTAAAATCTATGGCCTTTTTTTATTTAAAAATGATTTTTTGGTAAAAATCTTATTTAACTTAAAAAATATTTTTTATCATTTAAATATATTTTTAAATTTAATTTTTAAAATATTTTTGTAATCTTTAAAAATAAAAAATAGAATAAAATTAAAAATAAAAAGGAGGAATTCTGGCTTCTTGGCAACCGTAAAAAATGTTCATAATTTTAACCGGATATATAATATGTAAAAATAAAGACAGTAATTTAGCGAAAGAAGAAAAAAATTTTAAAATTGAAATTTTGTAAAATAAAATTCTCTTTTTTTTCTCTTTAAACTTCATTGTCAGAATCACTTTCGTGGATGCGAAAAATAAATTGTATCAGAACAATCTTCACTTTCTTCACTAATTACATTGCCCTCCTAAAAATATTTTTTAAAACAAAAGAAACACTTTTTTGAAATCCCCAAGTCCTTTCGGAATTAAAAATAAATTTAATTTTATTTGATTATTTTGAAATAAAAACTTTTAAAAATTATTTTTTTTAAATTACACTTTCAAGTTCAAAATTCTTTTTTTTCACTAGAAATTCTTTATACACTAGAATTTTTTTTAAAATACTACACTTTTTTTTAATTAGGTAGGTTTGTCCTAGTTAACTACAACATTAGCATCACCAACTTTATATACATAAATATTACAGCCGAATCTCGATAAAACGGCGATTTACGAACACCTCAAAATAACCAAATATTTCCTCAATCCCCGACTTTTCTATTGTCCTTTCGAGAACGTAATTGTGTAATTAAATTTATTACTTGTTCATCTTCTTCGTCTTCATCATCATCATCAAGTAAATCTTCGTCTTCAAAATCAGGTAGATTGTCTACATTTATCCCTTTAAAAAATTAAAATAATAATCCTCAAACAACAAAAAAAGCTTCTAAATCCCCAAATATTTATTTATTTACCTGCAAGACTAATGTCATCATCATCATCTTGATTATTTTGAACATTTAAATCTAAAATATAGTCTAAATTAAAATTTTTTTTTGATTATTAAATTTCCTGGATTGTTAACTACAACATTTCCATGAATGGAAAAGGGAAAGTTCAATAAATATGTGGTGTATTGTATGGGTTGTAAGTTTTTGAAATGATTTGATTAGCGAAGTCAAGTGAAATAAGTGAAAATAAAAATCCTCAAATAACAAAAAAAGCTTTTAAATCCCCA